TTTAATGCCAAAAACCGCAGTTACTTTTACTCCAACGTAATAAGTATGCCTACACATATATACACACATTACTTTTGGGCAAAGCCATCTAAACACACCGATCTTGCATATTGCTTTGCTGTTTGAAGAAGGGAAGATGTAGATATAAAATATGGATTCCATTAACTATTCAGAAAATCCTTTGGGTGCCTAGCATAAAATCTTTCTAATAGATATTTGGATATATCTCTGAGTATCTTTAAATGGATTTAAATTAAATGAAGGGTGTCCTAGAATTTACACTTCCTACTGGCACAGTAGGGAAAGTATCACAATTAGTGCTTCAGTATTTTTCATCTGCTTATTTTTACATGTAGCCTGAGGCCTATACTACGGATCATTTGCATTCCTATGTAGTGTCTTATAAACATGTACTTGTCCTACAGAGAAGCTGAACACATTTCCCTGTTCTGCCCTTATTATAGGTTCCCCGTCTTTGGAGAGGTGGTGGTGGTAATAACTTTATTCTTCCATTTAGTCTGTGGATCTGGAATAGGATATTCAAGAAGAGAAATGTAGGTCCTCCTGAATTTTATGATTGGGACAGCTGTAGCTAGGAAATGACACAAGAGTCCCAATTAATTCCCCAAAGGTCACACAATTGAAAGTCAGGAGATGGAATTGATTGAAAGTCATCATCAACTTGACCTAGACTTTTTCCAGTAATTGAAAGGACAAGAGGCTTTTGAGCCAAGTATTGTCCCTTGCTGAATTTAATTTTTTCATTTTGGAGATTACAAGAGGCTTGAAAATATTCATGTGAATTCCTTCTTGTTTCAACTTCTATAACAAACAGAACTTTCCCAATAGTTGCTGGACTTCAATTCTTTTTCTTATTCAAGGGCCTTTTGAAATATTTAAAATTATCAAAATATTATTACAATTAGCAAGTCTTCTAAAAGTAAAACTGATATCATTGATACTATTTTTTGAAGGTTAATATTTTTGAAGGAAATTCCTGTGAGCAAATTTCCCAGAAAGTGTTCTGAGCCCAAGAACATACCTGAATTTTCTATCAGTTGCAATCATATTCTGAAGGTTTTGGCAGAAAATGTGGGAAACAGAGAAAATGCACTCATAATATTACTACATAATACATACTTCGGTTACAGTTTAATTTGTTTTTCTCTATTTCTATACAGCTGTAATTGATGTTCATATATAATTTCGTATGCCAATCTTTACAGTTAACATATTGTTGTTACTGTCTTTTATAGCCTGTTACCATTATTTTAACAGCTGTATAGTATTTCAAGAAAGTTGTATCATGATTTATTTAATCACTGCATCTACTCCCATCCACAGTCTTACTTTGTCCTTGAATCGTTGGTTCACTTATTTAAGACCAGTGAAAATAACACTGAAGTCAGAGCCAAATGACAGTGTAGCTTTGCCAGATTTCATAATCTCTTTAGCCCTGTTTCCCATCTATCATATGTGAATAACAGTGACTGGCCCCTGCCTACCCCCAAACACTTAACCTGTCTCAAGGAAAAAAGTAAGACCTGTCCTCTGTTGCTTGTGATTTCCTTTAAATAAATGGAATAGATCAATTAAACCAGGCTAAGAAAGAAGAAATATTCTCAACTCAATAATGAAAACGATTTTAAAATTATCTTTCTAAACGTAGATCAGCTATGGCAAATTATAATAGTTACCTCTGAGTTTTGCTCCCCACAATTATGTTCAGGGTTCTGGTAGGTCCTTGTTTAAAGTATTTTTAGACTTGGGATCCTTTTCTTCTTTAAAAAGTGTTTTGTTTTTCTTTTTTTTTGAGACAGAATCTCGCTCTATCACCCAGGGGCTGGAGTACAGTGGCGCGATCTCGGTTCACTGCAATTTCTGCCTCCCAGGTCCAAGCGATTCTCCTGCCTCTGCCTCCCAAGTAGCTAGGATTACAGGCACCTGCCACCACGACTGGCTAATTTTTTGTATTTTAAGTAGAGACAGGGTTGCACCATGTTGGCCAGGCTGGTCTCGAACTGCTGACCTCAAGTGATCTGCCACCCTTGGCCTCCCAAAGTGTTGGGATTACAGGTGTGAGTCACTGCACCTGGACCTTTAGAAAGTTTTGAGATGATTTTCTGTTTAGTGTTTTTCTGTAGACTAACCTGAATGTCAAGGGATTTTTTTTTTCAGATGGAACAGTAATGAAAGTATCACAATTAGCAAGTTTTCTAAAAGTAAAAACTGACTCCACTGATATTATTTTTAAAAAGTTAATATTTTTGAAGGAAATTCCTCTAAGAGAATTTTCCAGAATGTGTTCTGAACCCAAGAACATGCCTGAATTTTCTATCAGTTACAATCATATTCTGAAGGTTTTGGCAGAGCTATCTTGGGAACAAAAGCTGAAAAATACAAAGGATTGAACATTGGACACATCTTTTAACCATACGACCTGGGAAGGCCTTAGGATTGCTAGTTAAGGTTGCTTTCTATAACAAGGTTCTTACTCTGTTTCTTCTGAGGCTAAAAGAAAATTTTTATCTTTTTTTTTTTTCGAGACAGCGTTTTGCTCTTGTTACCCAAGCTGGAGTGTAGTGGCACGATCTTGGCTCACTGCAACCTCTGCCTCCTGGGTTCAAGCAATTCTCCTGCATCAGCCTCCCGAGTAGCTGGCATTATAGGCATGTACCACCATGCCTGGCTAATTCTGTATTTTTTTGCAGAGACGGGGTTTCTCCATGTTGGTCAGGCTGGTCTTGAACTCTCGACCTCAGGTGATCCGCCCACCTCGGCCTCCCAAAATGCTGGGATTACAGGCATGAGCCACTGTCCCTGGCTGAAAACCTTTATCTTAAAATACAATCAATTATAAGATTTTAGTCAGCACGGTGGCCCACATCTGTAATCCCAGCACTTTTGGAAGCCAAGGTGGGTGGATCACTTGAGTCCAGGAATTTGAGGCCAGCCTGGCCAACATGGCAGGACCCTATCTCTACTAAAAATATAAAAATTAGCTGGGCTTGGTTGTGCATGTCTGTAATCCTAGCTACTCGGGAGGCTGAGGCAGGAGAATCGCCCGAACCTGAGAGGTAGAGGTTGCAGTGAGCTGAGATTGCACCACTGCACTCTAACCTGGGTGACAGAGCAAGACTCTGTCTCAAAAAAAAAAAAATTAAAAGATTTCATTACGAAGCATTTCAATTGTTGGAACATGATGTAAAATAATAATTTGAACACATCTATTTTTAACATGTGTTAAACATTAGCCGTATTAGCTTTGTACACACACACATGCATTTTAAATGAATAAAACGGATGGATTTGAAATTTTGTCCTCTTCCTTGATCTAATCTCCTTCCTTTGTGTCTGTCTCCATCCCTGGATATAAACACTACCTTGAGTTCAGTCTTACTACTGTTACTTCTGTACCTTTCTTTATGCTTTTGCTGCATAGGTAGGCATCCTTAAACAGCATACAGTATGGCTTTGCATGTTCAAAAACTTTATATTTTCTCATAGCTATAACTTATCTTATTCACTCTGCATAATTTTTAAGATTATTTCAGGTCCATGCATACAGAACAATCATTTAAACTGTTGTATTGCCTTCCATTATGTGAATATACCACTATTTGTTCATCAGTCCCTCTTCCCCCCGCCCAAGCAGTTTGAGGAAGGGACAATTTAAAGTCATAGCTTTATAATTTGTTGGCCAAGCAGAACACAGAGGATGCCAGGGATCAATACTTTTATTTCTGCCTTTCTCCATGTCCCTTCGGTTATTTGATTCCTTCCTTTATATTTTGGCCTGGTCTCCTGGAAAGATTGTTAAGACGACTCATTAACAAAAGCTTGTCCACAGACGTGAGTAGCCACTCTGTGTTAGGAAGGAGCTAAATGTGAGCCAGACACTGGCCAACAAATAGGTGACTGTCAAGCCTATAACCATCAAATTGCATATATTCATTCATATTTATAATGTAATGCCTGTGGGTTTCATGTACATGCATATTTTAATATGTGCTTTTAAAAAATTATTAAAGTTATAAAAATTGCAGTTAGTAAGAATTTGGTTACTCTTGGTTATTTCCTTATTCAAATGTGTATTTTTCTTATTTTCCATAGTAATACATTTAAAAACCAAAGCATTGGAGGTCACTACAAACTACTGCATTGACAGGTCCACAGATCTTATTTACAATACATAGCTAGGTTAAATATTGCTAGTTTTGTTGATGGAGTGCCTATCATGGAAACTGCTGTTCTCCTTCCAAAACAAGAAAAGGAACTAAAAAATCAATAATGTCTGTTTCCCTATCTGAATAGACAACACTGTTGTGAGCTGCTACCAATTTCCTGTGTTCCCATGCAAGCTATAATCTATGATTTGCCTCTGTAATTTCATTAATATTTAGTGACCAGAGACGTTTTGAGTGTTAACAGATACATTCTGTTAATAATTAAATTATTCTGGTGACTTCATTGTGTTTATGATAGAAAATAGGTCTCTGAATCACATTCATTTTTTTCTTTATGAACAACTACGAATTATTTGACTAAATCATCGTCTATAAGCTAAATGAGGTTTCAGTCAACTAAACTGCATGTTACTAAAAAAATCTTATGTGACAAATAAAGTATGCATTTTAGAAAAGATCAAGGGCTCGTGAGCCAAGAAATTTCAAACCAAAGATAGTATGTTTTGTAAAGGTTAAAGTCGATTTTTCAATTAGAAAGGAAATGGAACGTATTGTAAATGACTGTAGCTTCTCTTGTGTTTTCACTGTGATCCAGAAATGACCATATTGATTTTTGAACTCCTTGAGTTAAAGGAAAATCACTGAGAGTAAATTTCATGGCTTTGTGAGTTCCGGGTTAACTGATAACAGCTGAGAGAGGCTGTGAATGCTGCAGCTTCTCTGCTAGTTGCTCCTTCCTATGCCGAAGGATGTTTTTTAGAGCCATCTTTTATCTTTACTTAGAACAATGATGTTGTGGTTTGTTTTATTCAGATCAAGTTTTCAGAATCCGACTACTTTGGCAATGTCCTTCAAACTCGCAAGTATTTAGCACAGTCTGATTTCTTCTGGCTAAGAAAAGCCGTTCCAAAAACAGAGTGAGTATTAAAAAAATGTTAAATAGATAAATACATTGGTGAGAAGTAGAGTCTCTTTAGATTAAACTTTGTAAGTCCCCTCAAGTCAGAGTAGCTGGCTTGCAAGTTATCTTGTTTTAGCAAAATCTGTGTCATGTTTTGCCAACTCTTACTTTTTATATTATGTGATTCAGATCTTCAGTCTAATTACAAGTCCCCAGTTTCTAGCATCAACACATATCAAGAGAAGGCTTATTAGCATGGAAACATTAGAGTTATTTCTAGATCTAGTTATGAATATATATACAGGGGAAAATTTCTTTGGAATTTTACATTCATGTAGAAACTTTTGACGATCGTAAAAAGGAATAAATAATTTTTAAACAACTATGATTAGAAACATCAAAGTAAATGTACAGAAGCAACTATAAAATATTTGTTGAGGTAATGCCTGTCAAAGAACTGAGAGCTATATTGTTTTTATCCAATAGCAGTTACGATTTATTTGCCTTCCTCTCAGCTGCCTATAGGAGTTTTTCCTACAGGTAGGAGAGTTTCCTTAGGAACTTTTAGGCCCAGGGCCCACCAGCTATGATTTCTTCCCTTAGCAAAATGTCAGTGATGGTGACAATGATGATGGTAGCAGCTAACAATTATTATTTGTTTACATTGTACCAGAAAGTGCTTTACAATTTTTAATTCATTTTATCCTCATATGAATTCTGTGAGGTATAGGTACTATTATCCCCATTTTACAGGAAAATAAAAGGCTTACAACTGAGAAAATCTTCAGCTTAGGTTTGGGTAACATTTTGTTCTGTCTGCTGTTGCTTTTGATTCCTGGGACTGGATTCTGTTCTGCTAAGGCCCACTTTTCTAGTGCTTTTTCCCCCTCCTGTTCTCCAGATTGGATAATTTCTATTGATCTGTCTTCAACTCCAGAATTCCTTTTTTGTTTTAATTGTGTTATTTTTTAACTTACTTTTTATTTCCATAGCTTTTGGGGGAACAGGTGGTGGTTGGTTATATAAGTAAGTTCTTTAGTGGAGATTTCTGAGATTTCAGTGCACCCATCACCTGAGCACTGCACATGTACACTGCAGTCTTTTGTTCCTCAACCCCTTCCCCCTCTTTCCCCCGAGTCTCCAAAGGCTGTTGTATCATTCTTTTTTTTTTTTTTTCGCATATGCGGCACTTTTAATATCTAATAATGATGACATCTCATATTACTAGGAAAGAGATGAACTTCTTAATAAATATTACTGGAAAATGTGGGTACTTATTTTTTAGAGATGCATTTTTTTTTAATTGCACTTTAGGTTCTGGGGTACATGTGCAGATCATGCAGGATTGCTGCATAGGTACATACGTGGCAAGGTGGTTTGCTGCCTCCATCGCCCCGTCACCTATATCTGGCATTTCTCCCCATGTTATCCCTCCCCAACTCCATAGCTCCCACTGTCCCTCCCCTAGTCCCCCCCAACAGACCCCAGTGTGTGATGCTCCCCTCCCTGTGTCCATGTGTTCTCATTGTTCAACACCTGCCTATGAGTGAGAACATGCGGTGTTTGATTTTCTGTTCTGGTGTCAGTTTGCTGAGAATGATGGTTTCCAGATTCATCATGTCCCTGTAAAGGACACAAACTCGTTTTTTATGGCTGCATGGTATTCCATAGTGTACATCATTCTTATGCCTTTGTGTCCTCATAGCTTAGCTCCCTCTTATGAGTGAGAGCATAGGATGTTTGGTTTTCCATTCCTGAGTTACTTCATTTAGAATAATGGTCTCCAATTCCATCCAGGTTGCTGCAAATGCCATTATTTCATTCCTTTTTATGGCTGACAACTCCAGAATTTCCATTTGTTTCTTATAGTTTGTATTTCTCTGTTGTGATTCTTTATTGAGCCGTTGTCATTGTATTTTCTGTTAATTCTTTGAATATAGTTTATTTTAATTCTTTGAAGTCATCTATAATAGCCACTTTCAAGTCTTTGCTAAATCCAATATCTGGGCTCAAACTAACTAGAGTTAGTTTTTATTGATTTTTTTTTCTCCCTCTCTCTCTCTTTTTACAGTTTTTCTTTTGCATAACTTTTGTTGTTGTGAATGACAGTTTAGATCATATGTTATAGCAACTCTGGATTCTGATTTATTTCTCTGTGGCTTTTTTTTTTTTTTTTTTAAAAAAAACAAAAGTAACTGTCCTAACTTATACTGCAGAATAGACCTTCCCTGTTGCATCCAGCTGTCTGTGTCTCCATTCAGTTTTTTAACTATTATTTTTAGTTTGTAGCCTCACTTCTTGATGGTTGTCCCTGTGTCTACATAGCTTAGTGCTCTGTCAGTGATCAGGTCAGAGCTTGCGCCCAAACACCTTGAGACTATAGGGCTTCCCCCCTCTGCCAGTTGTTCTGTGTGTGGGTTGGGAGCACCTTCCAAGTTACAGCCAGTTTTCAGTCCACCTTCAATTTCACCTTCCACTAGGCCCTCACTGGTCTTCCCTGCACATGTGCCTAGTTTCCCAGTCAGCCAGGGATGTGTGGTGTGCTTATTTAGCCCTTCTATTACTATTTCAGTTACAGGGTCTCTCTTTTAAATTTCTGACTGGGTTTTCCTCATTAGTTTTCTATTAAGTTAGCCATTCAAAAATCTTAAAAAATATTTTGTGGGTCCATAGTAGGTGTATATATTTACGAGGTACATAAGATATTTCAACACAGGCACAGAATGTGTAATAATCACATCAGGGTCAATGGGGTATCTGTAGTCTCTAGCATTTATCCTTTCTTTATGTTACAAACAATCCAATTATACACTTTTAGTTATTTTTAAATCTGTAATAAATTATGGACTCTAGTCACCCTGTTATGCTATCAAATACTAGATATTATTCATTCTATCTATATTTTTGTAACCATTAACCATCCTCACTTACCTTGACCCAGTACCCTTCATAGCCCCATTCTACTCTCTATCTCCATGAGTTCAGTTGTTTTAATTTTTAGCTCCCACAAATAAGTGAGAACATGTGAGGTTTGTCTTTCTGTGCCTGGCTTATTTCACTTAATATCTTCTAGTTTCATCCATGTTGTTGTAAATTACAGGATTTCATTATTTTTTTATGGCTTAATAATACTCCATTATACATATGTACCACATTTTCTTTATCCATTTGTCTGTTGATGAACACACAGGTTGTTTCCAAATCTTGGCTATTATGAACAGTTCTGCAATAAACATGGGAGTCCAGATGTCTCTTTGATGTACTGATTTTCTTTCTTTTACGTATATACCCAGTAGTGGGATTGCTGGACTGTAAGGTAGCTCTGTTTTTAGTTGTTTGAGGAACCTCCAAACTCTTCTTCATAGTGGTTGTATTAATTTACATTCGCATGAACAGAGTATGAGGGTTCTCTTTTCTCAACAACCTCACCAGAATTTGTTTTTGCCTCTTTTGAGTAAAAGCCATTTTAACTGGAGTAAGATGATATCTCACTGTAATTTTTGATTTGCATTTCTCTGATAATCATTGATGTTGTGTACCTTTTCAAATACCTGCCTGCCATTTGTATGTCTTCATTTGAGAAATGTCTGTTCAGATCTTTGTGTCTATGTGTCTGTTTTTATGTCAATATCGTTCTGTTTCGGTTACTATGGCTCTGTAGTGTAATCTGAAGTCAAGTAATGTGACTCCTTCAGTTTTATTGTTTTTGCTCAGGATAACATGGGCTATTCTGGATCTCTTTTGGTTCCATATAAATTTTAGGATTTTTTTTCTATTTCTGTGAAGAATGTCATTGATATTTGATGGGGACCGCAGTGAATCTATAGATTGCTTTGGGTAGTATGAACATTTTCACAGTGTTGATTCTTCTGATCCATTAACATGGAATATCTTTACTTTTTTGTGTCTTCTTCAATTTCTTGCATCAGTGTCGATAGTTTTCATTGTAGAGATCTTCTGCTTCTTTGGTTGTTTATTCCTAGGTATTTTATTTGTAGCTATTGTAAATGAGATTATTTTCTTTACTTCTTTTACAGATTGCTTTCTGTTGGAATATAGAAATGCTACTAAATTTTGTGTTGACTTTGTATCCTGCAACTTTACTCAATTTGTTTATCATTTTAATAGTTTTTTGGTGCAGTCTTCAGGTTTTTCCAAATATAAGATCATATTGTCTACAAAGAAAGGTAATTTGGCTTCTGTGTTTCTAATTTCGATGCCCTTTATTTCTTTTTTTAAAAAAATATATATTATACTTTAATTTCTGGGGTACATGTGCAGATCTAGCAGGATTGTTAAATAGGTATACATTTGCCATGGGGGTTTGTTGCCTCTATCCCCCTGTCCCCTACATTAGGTATTTCTCCCAATGTTATCCCTCCCCAATCTCCCCATCCCCTGCTATCCCTCCCCAAGCCCCCCACCTCACAACAGACCCCATTGTGTGATTCTCCCCTCCCTGTGTCCATGTGTTCTTATTGTTCAACACCTGCCTTTGAGTGAGAACATGCTGTGTTGGGTTTTCTGTTCTTACGTCAGTTTGCTGAGAATGATGGTTTCCAGATTCATCCATGTCCCTGCAAAGGAAATGAACTCATCCATTTTTATGGGATGCCCTTTCTTTCTGTTGTCTGATTGCTCTAGCTAGGACTTCTAGTACTATGTTGAATAATAGTGGTAAAAGTAGGCATCCTTGTCTAGATCTTAGAGGAAAGGCTTTCAGTTTTCCCCCCATTCAGTGTGATACTAGCTGTGGCTCTGTCATATATGGCTATTATGTTGAGGCATATTCCCTCTATACCCGGTTTTTTGAGGGTTTTTAATCTAAAAATGATAAATTTTATTGTTGAATTTTATTAAGTGCTTTTTAGCATCAATTTAAATGATCATATGTTTTTTGTCCTTCATTCTGTTGGTACGATGTATCACATTGATTGATTTGTGTATGCTGAGCCATTCTTACATCCCTGGGATAAATTCTACTTAGTCATGATAAATGATTTTTTTTAATGTGTT